CGGGCCGCAGAGAAGGTGGGCGCCGGGACGTGGCCGCAGCGCTTATCGCTAAAGCAAGTATTTAACCTCAGAACGGGGGCCCCTCGGAGGCCGGAGAGGAGAGCGGGGGTTTGTGGGAGCTCTGCCGTCTTTCCCCGGGCACAGCTGGAGGAGCTCTGCGGGCTTTTCCCGGGCACAGCTGGAGGAGCTCTGCCGGCTTTTCCCGGGCACAGCTGGCGGGAGCCCTGCCGTCTTTCCCCGGGCACAGCTGGAGGAGCCCTGCCGGCATCCCCCCGGGCACAGCTGTCGGGAGTTAGAGGTTAGTTACCCAGCTTTCTCTGTCCCACGCCCGGATTCTCAGCCCTGTGCTAAGGCAGACGGGAAAGGCCGGGAAGGCCAGCTGCCGGGGTGGGTAGTGAGAATTAGGGAGAGCCCGGAGTCGGTGCAGAAGGAGGACCGACCCAGGAAAGAACAAGTGCGCTCGGTCTCAGTCCTCTCGCCCAGAAGGTCAGACCTGCTTTTCTGCTTCCGCTCAGTTTCAGCCACGTGCTTTGAGCGATGCCAAACTTGCTCATATATATTACAAACGGATGGGCTTTCCGTATCTCAACCAACAGTACAGAAGCTGTAAAATCCAGTTAGTTCTCTTGCCCTGGACGGTTTGGAGCGTCGTGGATGGAGCGGCGGCCTGCGGACTGAAGGGTCCCGGGTTCGATTGTGGTCAGGGGCACATGCCCGGGTTGCGGGCTAGATCACAATTGGGGGGCATGCCGGAGGCACCCAATCGGTGGTTCTCTCTCATCATTGATGCTTCTATCGCTCTCTCCTTCTCCCTTCCTCTCTGAAATCAATAAAAATGTTTTTTTAAAAAATTAAGTTCTCCTCATCTTCTCCGCTGCTACATCTGCATTAGTTATTCACCTAGATTTCTCCCAAGATAAATGCTGATAAATTAACAGATCAATCACGCCTGTAAGAAGGTTAATTTAAACATCCTCCTATATAATAAAAGGTTAATATGCAAATTGTCCCGCCAACTGGGAGTTTGACAGGGAGTTCGACCAGGGGCAGGGCCCGCAGGCCAACCGCCTGTGGCCCCCTACCCCTGGCCAGCCAGACCCCACCTGTGCACAAATTCGTACACCGGGCCTCTAGTTTCTTTATAAAAAGAAAATGTAATACAACTTTATATACACACAGGGAACTATTTTTTTCCCCCAAATCAGAGTGAGGTGGTTCTCTTAGTTCTGCTAAGAGTATTTCAAGAAGTTGCAATAGTAGTAATTACCCTGTGCTAAACACTTTTCTAAGTACTTTATAAATCTAAATGCATTTAATACTTAAACAGCTCAGGTGAGCAAGTCTCATGGTACACCGCATTGTGTTTTCTCTCTTTTTTAAAACTATGTTTTTATTGATATTAGAGAGAGGAAGGGAGAGAAACATTGATCGGCTACCTCCTGGGGATGGAGCCCGCAACCCAGGCCTGTGCCCTGACCTGCATAGAACCAGTGAACTAACTCTAGTAGGAGCATGAGACTAGCTCAACCAACTGAGCCACACCCGACAAGGACTTGCTTTCTCTGTCTCTGGTGTTTCCTAATATCATTTGTTTGATCTCAATCATGATAGGCTTGATGGTTTTGAATAGAGGTCAAACAAATTGTCAAGGGCGGTGTGCTCAGACTCAGGTTTCATTATCTGAAATACACAAAATTTAAAATCTTTCATGTTAATAGGGTTATCTTTGAAATATAAAATTTGTTTTTCTTTGCTTGGCCTTTCCACTGGATGGTACCCACAATCCAGGTATGTGCCTTGACTGGGGATTGAGCCAACAGCCTTTCAGTATAGCTACACTGGCCAGAGCTGCACCGCAAGAATTTGAAAAAACATGCAATTTAGTCAGAGGCACTGACCTCTTCTCCAAGATTGTCAAATAAAAAGATAAACAGTAGCCAGCACAACAATAGCCGTCTGGTGTGAGTGAAGCAAAATTATACCTGCTCTGGCCTGGTAGCTCAGCTGGTTACAGCATCATCCCAATATGCCAAGGTTGTGAGTTTGATCCCTGGTCAGGGCACGTACAAGGATCAACCAATAAATTCATAAATAAGCGGAACAAATAGATGTGTCTCACCTTTCCTCTCTAAAATCAATAAATTAAAAATATGTATTTTAAGTCACAAAAGCCAACTTTAAAAATTATACCTATTTTTTTTTGTCAGATTGGCAAAATATGTATTTTTTGGTGTGCTGCAGAATTTTAGTAATTAGAGCATGTGTGCCATGAGATGAAAAAGGTTGAAATCACTGCCCTGCGTTATAAACTCGAAAAGAATCTTAACGGGTATATAAGGCCCATACCAGTCTAGGCCCTCTCACTCCAGACAACACTAAATTACTAATGGCTCACTGAAAACATCCAGCATTTTCCAGCATCTGGTTTTATACTGTTCAGTTCAGTTAGAACTCAGACAACACTAAATTACTAATGGTTCACTAAAAACATCCAGCATTTTCCAGCATCTGGTTTTATACTGTTGTCTGTAGCTAGACACTCCCCCATCTCCCATGTAGTGTCAGCTGAAGCTTTCCTTCCTCCATTGTTGACTCCCCTCACTTCTCTAGACAGTTATTTCCACAGTGGTTAAATTGTGTGTGTGTGTGTGTGTGTGTGTGTGTGTGTGTGTGTGTGTGTGTGTGTTGGAGCTATTGTGTATGTCTAAAATGTTTTTTAAGGATATAGGAAATGTATTTTCATCTCTTTCCAACATATAGGAGGAATTTAATATTTGTTGAATGAGTAAATGCATGTTCATGCCTTCAAAAACTCATGAAGAGACTGATATGTGTTATACTCTAGAAAAGTAATTGCAAATTGCACATAATAACATAACATAACAGAGGAATGGGTGTAGTAGGTAAATAAGATCAACTCTATTTGGGATTCAGAAAAGGCTGTCAGGATGGGGGATTATGAGTATGTACAGAAACTGGGACAATGAAGATGTGCTCAAGATTTAATTAAAGGTACCACTTGGTTGACACACTTAGGGGAGATGGAGAAGTAGAGGGAACCCTAGGTTTCTGACTTGGGTGAGTAGGGGTGGATGGTGATGGCATAACCAAGATATGAAATGCAAGAGAGAAGAAACAGGTTTAACTCGTGAAAAGAACTACTGTTTTCTTGCTTATACTTCATATACCTGGCTTACGTCATTCTAATGAACTTTTATTATAAAAAAGACAAGATGCCAATAACTGAATTTTTAAGTCAGGCTAATTGAACAGTGATTACTAAAACTAGTTTTTCATATTCCAACTGTACATACTACCTAAGGAAATTGAAATAATTGGTTTATATTTAGGTACATCAGTACTTTCAGGATTAGCCAAATAAAAAATTTCATGTTGAGCAAGTTAACCTTCCTGAAGTTGGTCCATATCTGTTTCAAACTTCCTAAGGGCAAATATTGAAATATGAAAAGCAGCTAACAGTATGAAATTACAGAATTTTAGGTATAGCAACTATAAAATACTATGAATTACTGAATTTAATCATTTGTTCCTCTTTCAGTATAAAAGTGATTTACTATGTAGTTATATATTTATATAATTGAAATTTTCACTAGATACTAGCACATTTAAGTTTTTAAAATAATAAGAGTTGGTGGGGTCTTTTGCCTTCTGATTCAGGTACAAAGAATAGGATTTGAGAATAAGAATAAATAGTAAACATACCAGTCTATCTTTGGAAATGCTAACTACTACTTAAAGTTGTTCAATTAATGCCATTTAACTTTCCTGGATAAAACTTTAAAAGTGCGTCATACACCGATGATAAATGGAATTATTTCAATCAAATTTCCTGGTTTATCATTGTTAAAAACTAAAAAATAACATGAAAAAGTATAACCTGATATACCATAAAAAAAGATTTTGTAGTTTTCAACATCTTGATTATTTATTAATTTGGACAGAAAATGTTACTATAATGAGTTAAGTATAGAATTTGAAACTTAGTGTTTGACATGAAGAAGCATAATCTGTACAGAACATAAATATCATAATTTCCCAAAGTGCTAAAACTATCAGTGACTTGTAAATAGAGGCAGAATTTTGTAATATCCTATTTGATACTGTGAAAAGAAGCTAAAAGGACTTCGCAGCCCACTGGCCTGATGAAAAATGTGTGTTCTTGGCAATTGAAATTGTTAGAATGATAGGAATTCATCTAATAAAAGTACCTTTTCTCTATGTAAACTGATTGTGGAGTGTTTTTTTTTCCAGATTTGAAACATTTGTGTTCATGAAGAATGACTGCATACAAACCACAATATGTCAAGAAAGAAAAAAGATCCAATAGAACTGTTTCATTCTGGGCAGCTGGTAAAAGTCTCCGCCCCAATGGTTCGATATTCAAAGTAAGTATTGTTAAATGGTGATTTCCTTTTTATGCTCTTACTTTTTAAAAGTAAGGCCACCTCACCACATGTCATCTTCCAACATTTAACTTTTGAATCATGATCAAGGCTTGAGTCCTGGTGTTACCACTTGCCTAATATGTGTGTGGTCCCTCCCCAGCTGGCCAACCTCCCGTGTCCCTCCCTGGCCCCGATCGTGCACCAGTGGGGTCCCTCAGCCTCGCCTGCACCCTCTCGCAATCTGGGACCCCTGGAGGAATGTCAGAGAACCAGGTTTGGCCTGATCCTGCAGGCCAGCCCGAGGGACCCCACTGGTGCACGAATTCATGCACCAGGCCTCTAAGTATATCAGAATTTCCTTTTTAAGGCTGACTGACATTTCATTGTACATATATATCACATTTTGTTTATTCATTTATTAATTGATGACCACTTGATTGCTTCCATCTTAGGCTATTGGGAATAATGCTGCTATCAACATGGATGTGTAAATATCTCTTTGAGAACCTGCTTTCATTTATTTTGAGCATATGCCCAGAAGTGGAATTGTGGGATCATATGATAATTCCATTTTTATTTTTTTGAGAAAACTCCTTATTGTTTTTCATAGCATCTATACCATTATACAGTCCCATCTGCCATGCACAAGAGTTCTGATTTCTCAACATCCTCACCAACACTTGTTTCTGTTTGCCTTTTGTTTTGTTTTATTTTTTAGAATAGTTTATTGATTTTTAGAGTGAAAGGAAGGAAGGGGGGGATGAAGAGAGAGAAACATCGATGTGAGAGTGCACCATGGATCACTGCCTCCTTCACGCTCCCTGCCATGGATCAAACCCCCAACCAAGGCATGTGCCCTTGACCCGAAATTGAACCGTCAACCTCCTGGTGCATGGGACGGCACCCAACCAATTGAGCCACACTAACCAAGGCATTTATTTGTTATTATAGCCATCCTAATGGATATAAAGTGGTATCCACTGTGGTTTTGATTTGTATTTCTGTAGCGATGTTGAGCTTCTTTTCATGTGCTTTTAGCTATTTGTGTATCTTCTCTGGAGAAATGTTTTTTTCAAGTCCTTTGCCCATTTTTGAATCAGGTTGTTTGTTCTTTTGTTGTTGAGTTTTTGTTTACTATTGAGTTTTGAGAGTTCTCTATGTATTCTAGGTACTACTCATCAGATTTATGGTTTGCAAATATCTCCTCCCAGTATACAGCTTATCTTTTCATCCTCTTAATGAACTGTCTTTTGCAGAGCAAAAGATTTTTTTAATAATTAAGTCTAATTTATCAGTTTCTTTCTTCTGTAAATTGTGCTTTTGGTGTGAAGTGTAAGAAATCTTTGTGTAGCTCTGGATTCTACAGATTTTCTCCTATTTTTTTCTCTAAAAGTCTTATAGCTTTATGTTTTACACTTAAGTCCATGATCAATTTTGAGTTATTTTTTTGTAAGTGTGAGGCTTAGGTTAAGGTTTTTGTTTGTTTGTTTGTTTGTTTTTTACTGTAGAAGTCTAATTACTTCAGCACCATTTATTGAAAAGGCTATTTTCCACTATTTAATTACTTTTGCATTTTGTCAAAAATTTATTGGGAGTATTTGTATGTCTCTTTATCTGGATTCTTTGTTCTGTTCCATTAATCTATGTGTCTATTCCTCCAACAATACCATACTATAGCCAGCTATATAATAAATCTTGAAATCAGGTAAACTGAGTCTTCCACTTTATTTTTCTTTTTCAAAATTGTTTAGCTATTCTAGGTCATTTGCTGTCCTCATTTTATGATGATGTTGTCTATATATACAAAATATCTAGCTGAATTTTCACAAGAATGACATTAAATATTCATATCAACTTTGAGAGAATCGAATTCCTTACTATGCTAAGTCACCCAACTCATGAACACAATATGTCAAGATTTATTTAGATCTTATTTGATTTCTTTCATCACTTTGTGTAGTTTTCAGCATGTGAGTTCTGAATGTGTCTTGTTAGATTTACACCCATTTATTTCTCTCTTTTTGAGTGATTGTAAATAGTATTATACTTTTAATTTTGGTGTTCATGTGTTAATTGCTTGTATATAGATATAAAATTGATTTCGTATGTTAATCTTATATCCTGTAACTTGAACTCACTTTTTATTCTAGGAGCGTTTTTTGATAAATTCTCTGGGATTATCTATGTAAACAATTATGTCATCTGCAAATAGGGACAGTTTTCTTTCTTCCTTTCTATCATATGCCTTTGATCATGTCTTATTACAGTGACTAGAAGTTCCAGCACTGTGTTGAATAAGAATGATGAAAGTAGATATCTTTGCTTTGTTCTTAATCTAGGGGGAAAGTAATCTATCTTTTACCTGTTAGTATAATGTTAGCTGTAGGACTTTTTGTGGGTGCTCTTTATCAAGTTGAGAAAGATCTCCTATTTTACTGAGAGTTCTTTTTATGAATGAGTATTATTTTTTCAAATACTTTCTCTGCACTGATTAATATCATGATTTTTTTTTCTTTAGCCTATTAAATGGTAGATTACATTGATTCTGAGTATTGAACCTTCTGTTTTAACTGTTGTTTTTCTGACACCATTACAATCAGGCAGAGGTAGAAATCCAGGTTCCCCATTTGGTCTCCTTTGACACTCTGAGGGCAAAGGGCTCCTCATTACTGCTGAGCAGCGGGGAGAGTTCCAGGTGCACATGGAGTGGGTGACCTGGTAGCTCCTGGGCAGTGAGGAAAGTCCTGGTTCTGCTCTAAGCATGCTCTGATACTACTCCCTGTGAGGAGGGAGGAGGAAGTCCAGACTCCCCATGAGGTCCCCACTGATATCACTAAAGGCACCTTGTTACTTGCCAGCAAGGATTCAAGTCCCAGCTACCTACCTGGCCTTTTCTGATCCTACCTTGGCGGGGTGTTGGAGAACCTTGTCACAGCCTTGGAAAGGTAGAAACCGAGGCTCCCCACTCAACCTTTGTGGAGGGGAAACCACAGTTGTTTGTTCTTGGTGTTTGGCTGGAGTTGAGCTGCTATTGTGTACAGTTTTCTGTCTTGCGAGGCTGACCCTTTCCTGGCTGTTTGGCTAGGGAGAGCAGACTTGTTGAGGCTCTTTTGTTTGCATATGTTGGTATTTCCAAGTTGCCAGCTTCTTCAACTCCAAGTCTGGCATATTTGAGGTAAAAAGAAAACCCAAGAAACTCACCATTGTTATTCCTCAAGTCCTGAGTTCACTAGCCTGTTTTCTTCTCTCCACCTTTGAGAAATTTTCTCTTTTTTTTTAATAAATAAAATCCAGGGGTTTTAGTTATACTAAGCAGGCAGTATAGGGGAAAGTACATCTCCGTCTTCTAATACATAGACCTTTCCTCTAATAAATATTTAATAGTTAACTAAGTGAAACTTGGAAGTACATATGATTGGGGTGATTTCTAAATGTCTAATTAAAGTTTTATCCCTTTACAGGTTAGCTTTTAGAACACTAGTAAGAAAGTACAATTGTGATCTGTGCTACACACCAATGATAGTGGCTGCTGATTTTGTCAGATCTGAAAAAGCCAGAGACAGTGAATTTACCACAAACCAAGGTATGTGAAATTCAGAGTTTGTTAACTTGGTAAAACTTAAAAATCCCAATTCAGAGATTTTATTTTTTAATCTTTTAGTATTTAATGTTTTTTCATAAGTCTTTGTAAAATACGTTTTTACTGAGTATCTTCAAACTGGATGGTATACAAAATACTAAGCCTTCCTTAGGGCCCACATTCTCTCACCTAGACTATTAGATTAGATTCCTATCTCACTGCCCTCACTCTTGTCCCAATCTAAACTATCCTCCAAACAACCCAAAGTAACCTTTCTAAAATGTAAACTTGATCACTTCTCTTAGACCTCTTTTTGCCTAAAGCAGTGATTCTCAGAGTGTGATTCCCCAGACCAGCAAGACAAGCTGCATCTGGAAACTTGTTAGAAATGAAAATTCACTGCCTCAACTCCAGGCCTACTGAATCAGAAACTCTAAGCCTTCCAGATGATTCTAAGCTTGCTAAAGATTGAGAACCACTGGCCCAAAGAGTAAAATTCTAGCACCTGTGAATAATATGTAACATTCTTCATGATCTAGCCTCTGAATACATCCTCAGCTTTCTTTATCTTCCATTAGTTTTTCTCCAGAGCCCACTGACTTTATTACTCACAAATGCTAAGTTATTTTAAGGCCCATGCTCTATTCTCTCACACTTCTCTACCTAGAATCTCCTTCTCAGCCATGCCTATCCCTTATATCCCTATTTCTCTGGCAAACAACAGTTTATGCTTCTTAATCTAGCTCTGGAATTTTGTGGCTAAGGTACTTTCCTAATCACCCTCCACTCGTATTATTTCTTTGAAGGACAGTCTTTAAATGTTGCACTTAATCCTACTGTGTTATAATTTCCTCTTTGAATACCTGTGTCTCCTCCTGGACTGTGGGCTCCCTGAGACCTGGAACTGTTTCTTACTGGTTTGTATCCTCAGTTTCTAGTGCAGTGTTGAAAATATATTAGAACCATAAAAAAATGTTAAACTGAAATTCTATAACTCTCTTGAGTTACAAAGGGGAAAGCACCCTACATCCTCAGGAAAAGGCAAATTTTCTGATCCCAGGATAATACTGTAAATTAGTGGTACTAGGGTGATACCCAGAAATCTGCATTTTTGGCAAACACCCAGTAAATCTCAAACAGGTAGTCCTCAAAAAGTCTTTAGAAAAATTAAAATACATCTATCCAGAGTTTTAACACTAAACCCAAAGATGAAAAAAAAAAATTGTCCTTTAAAACCTAGGAAAGTTCTGATGTATTTGGCTGTATTAAAATTTAAACTTTTATATGTAAGAAAATAGCACAAATATATTCAAAAAACAAACTAAAATTGGGAAAATGTTTATGATATTTTATATTTATGCTAGAGCTAATTTCATTGTTTTATAAAAAAATTTAATAATGAAAAGGAATAACTAAAAGAAAAATTGTGCATATAAAAATGTACAAAGAAGATGGAAAGCCCAGAAAGAAAAATATACACTATTGGATATACAACATAGGGTAAGTTATAAGAAAACAAGAATTTAATCCATATTGATATGTATCTATGTTGGTTTTGGAACTCAGTTCCTTCATTCTGCTCCACTAGGCCAACTGTTGGGTCCGAGCCCCCCCCCGCCCCCCCCCACCAGGGGCTGGACCTCCTTGAACGCCAGGTATTCGATGACAGAGAAGCCATGAGAAGTTGTGGGTATATAAGAGAGTCTTTATTGTGGGAGCCAGTGGTTAAGTAGCCATTGCTAACAAGGAGCCACTAAACAAAACAGTTCTTCAAAGCAAAGTCCCATACAGTAGCCGTGCCCCAGCTGGGTAACAATACATCTTTCCCACACAGCAACAGCAGCCTCTGTACCGACAGCCATTATCTGAGCAGCCACAAGCTGCCTGCTGGTCATTAACATATTATACTACTTAGACAAAAGAGGCTTCTTGCCAAAAAGTGACCTCAGTCTTTTGGGTCATAGAAGGGCACACTTGTGCAGTGTACATACAGATTACTGTGGCCTTGCTCTTGCACCTGTGTATAGCATCATAGCCTTGAACACTTGATTAAGATTCCCACACACAGAATGGCCTTGAACATCCGGTGTACTCTGAATAGGCCCTCCACACTCCAGTTGACCTTGAGCATCTGAATAGGGTCCCCACAGTTGGTAAATTGTTTTGAAAGAAATTTTTGTAATGTCTATCAAATGTTAGATGCTTGTCCAAAAGTTACACACCTAGGAATTTACCCTCTGAATGTACTCACAAAAGCATGTGAGAGTATCCTCATCACATTGTTTGCAATAGCCACAAACGAAAAACAATCTAGAAGTACACTATGTGGTTCATCTATATACAGTGGAATATGCCACTGAAAAGAAAATAAGTCTAAGTACAGCTCCCAGACACATCAGGTTAAAAAAAAAAAAAAAGCATTGTAGCAATGTACATAGAATGTTCACATTGGTTAAAAATTTACAGGTACACATAAAATTTTTCTGGAATAATGCATGGTCATGATTTATGGGGGGCCCTTGTCTGTGGGCCTCTCATAGTGGACCCATGCCAGAGGAAGTTGCAGCCTCAAACCATTGCCCAGCCTCCTTACCCTTGGGCTATGAGCACTGAAGGGGGCTATACAGTATGAAAAAAAAATTGTTCTGGAATACAGTAACTAATTCTCACCTTTGGAAAGGGGTCTGTTTGTCAACAGTATTGTACTTTTCATTTTATCAAACCTTACACTTGAATTTGAACTAAATGTGAATTGCTTTTTATTTAAAATGTTTAAAATTATTTTAATGCTCCCTTGTTTGGACAGATACTTCTTAGGCTAAAAATAGTTATTTTATATTGGTATCTCATGTGTGTATGTGTGTTTTTGTGAATTTTAATGTTGACCTATTTGTTTTATCAGGTGATTGCCCATTGATTGTTCAGTTTGCTGCTAATGATGCAAGACTTTTATCTGATGCTGCTCGTATAGTCTGTCCTTATGCGAATGGAATAGACATTAACTGTGGTTGCCCTCAGAGGTAAAGCTCAAAAGAAGTTGGAAGAATTTTCAAAAAGATTAGAAAAAACTATGTGAACATGGTAAACTATCTTTCTAGTTTTCCAATAATTAAAAAGTAAAGAAAATAGAGTTAAAGCACTTGGGCTCTAACTAAGAAGAAAAAATAAGGAAAGATTATTTAGGAACATACACGCAGAGATATTTTCTGATGGCTAAAACAATGTATAGACCCTTGACAGCTGTTTTATCTTACCTCACCACTAGAATTTTTTAAAGTATAGATCTGCCTTGAACCTCATCCATAAGTAGTTATATGAGACACTGATGTTTATAGCAAATTCTAAAATGTATTTTTACTGTCATGTTAGACATATGTGCTCTAGAAACTATGGTTCTATGATTTGGGAGCTTACCACTTATTTTCTCCTAATTAATTTTCTTTATAAGAATACCTTCTTATAATTACCTTTCTTTCCCCTATACCACAATTATTTGGTTGGTTCTAAATAACTGTGTATTTGTAGGATGTACTTAATTTGACAATATCCCTATGTTTCTGACACTGTACTAGATTATCTGACAATAATTCAAAATGTGTCCAAATAATAAAATCAAGGTTTTAAATACAGCATAATCCAAATCAGATTAGACATATTTGTATGCTCATTAGGAGAGTTAAATAAGCTATTTAGTAGTGTTGGAATGCTATAAGCCAAACATCTCTCTACTATTAAGACTAATAAAACCTCTTATGTATAATAAACATCAAATTTGGAATTTAAAAAATCTGAAATAATTGAAATTAATTACAAGTACTTAAATCTGTTTTGGTTGAATGGATAGTAATTTAATTTTCTGACTTGCCAATAAAAACCATTTCCTAAGTACTTGTTGATCTGGGAACCTGTTTTCCTAATCTTAAATTGGTCCACTTAGAAATGTTGGGTCTATGAATTGTAAAAATCTGATTCCATTCAAGATTGCTAGATAGAGAAATAGTAGATGCACTTACAATGCCTTTAGAAATGTATCTTCTTTTTCAACTACAGTTTATTTGTTGTTGTGTTTGCTTCATAAAGATGGGCAATGGCTGACGGTTATGGAGCTTGCTTAATAAACAAGCCAGAGCTTGTTCAAGATATGGTGAAACAAGTAAGAAATCAAGTGGAAAATCCCAGATTTTCAGTATCTATTAAAATAAGGTAAAAATATTTTAATCTGTTGACAGATAGTTCTTTACTTAGGAAATAAAAGAATATTCCTTCTGTTTGGGGCTGCAGGGTTGTCTTTCTATCCTTAACTTGTAGGTGGTGTATAGAAATGTTGAAACAGGATATTTAGTAAATGGATATATACAGTATTTTATATATATATATATAATCCAGAGCAACTTCCTCTTTGTATTGTTTAACAGAAATGAAAACATCCCTTTATTATTAAAAACTTTTATCCAAGCCTGGCCAGTGTGGCTCAGTTGGTTGAGCGCCATCCCATGCACCAGGAGGTCACCAGTTAAGTTCCTGGTCAGGGACATGCTCAGGTTTCGGGCTTGATCCCCGGTGTGGGGCATGCAGGAGGCAGCTGATTGATGTTTCTCTCTCATCGATGTTTCTATCTCTCTCTCCCTTTTTCTGAAATCAATTTTGTAAAAAAAATTTAAAAACTTTCCTCAAAAAGAAACCCTTAACTTTTTCTATGTACTACTTAATTAATGCTAAGATACAATCCTGGTACCAAGAGTAGAAAATAGGAATGGTATTTGCACTAAAAATTCACAATAAAAATAAAATAAACCAGGAATCAGTTTTTTGGTGATAGGTTAAAAACATATTTCAAGATAAATGAGTATTATATTCTCCCACTTGAGGAATGGGCATACACAAGCAAATGTTAGGATAGCATCTTTCCATTCACGTGTGTAGTATTTGGCTGACATTTTCAGTTTCGAAAGCCAAAGGGGAGGAGCACTAGGTAAGATAAAACTTGTCATCTTATTGTTGCCAGTAGTGAAATAGCTACATTTGAAATCTTCAATTGGAACTGATCCCTGAGCAAAAAAAAACCCTTACTGATAGTGGCGTATAGTGATAATATGATGTAGAAAAATTACATAATGTTTTATATGACATATTATTTAGTTATTAATTTTAGCTTTGATTTGTGCTACAAAAAGATGGCTATAATTTTGAAATTATAGGATCCATGATGACCTTGCAAGAACTGTGGATCTTTGTCGAAAGGCTGAAGCAACGGGCGTTTCCTGGATTACAGTCCATGGAAGAACTGTTGAAGAAAGACATCAGCCAGTTCACTATGAAGCCATTAAAATAATTAAGGAAAATATGTCTATACCTGTTATTGCTAATGGAGACATCAGAAGCTTAAAAGAAGCAGAAAAAGTGTGCCATATTACTGGGACAGATGGTAAGAAAGAAGTACTTGGATTTTTGTCTTTTAACTAGCAAAAAAAGTGGGGGTGGGAGAATAATGTTAATGTTTTCATTATTTTTCTTTAAATTGGAACTATATTTTTCTCCTATGTTGGTTAAAGCTAAGCAATTTATTAAAATGATGCTTAGAAACAGTAGATTAGTTGAGGTAAAGTCATTCTTGTTATTGCCACCATCATATCCAGTGAAAGACTAGTTAAGAATCTTACAGATAGCCTATTAGTAAAATAGAACAACACCTAGACTAGAACTGAGAGTGAGCGAACACAAGAGTAGTCAAAGGAACCAAAAGAACCCCAGCCTTCTATGCAGTTTCATTATCCCCTTAAATTACTGGCAGACCAAACCCTGTGATACCTACTGCTAGGTGGGAGAATGCAGATAAAACTTAACTTCAAGCAAGCCCAATTTATGACAATTTGGATTTACCTTTAACAGAAAGCCTAAAGATTAATTGCTTAATGTAGAAGTCTTAATAAAATAAAAAATATCTGTAACTACCTTTAAACTTATAGAAACTTTAAAAAATTGTATTATAATTGAATTATATAGACTAATATCAGGGTATTGTGAAACCTTGTAATATACTTTATTTTTTAATATTCTCGGTTTGTTTGAGTGTGACTTTGTAACTATGAGTTAATATGTGGATAAATGTTCTATGCTTTAATTTGCAGGTGTGATGGTTGCAAGAGGACTCTTAGCAAACCCAGCCATGTTTGCTGGATATGAGGAAACCCCCCTGAAATGTATCTGGGATTGGGTTGACCTTGCTCTTGAACTTGGAACTCCGTATATGTGTTTCCATCAACATTTAATGTACATGATGGAAAAGATAACTTCAAGGCAAGAAAAAAGAGTATTTAATGCTTTGTCAAGCACATCAGCAGTCTTAGATTACCTTACGGACCATTATGGGATGTGATTGGACTTCCTAAGTTGTTTTAATATGTACTTTAAAGGAATTGTGTTTTTAACATTTTTAAATAAATTTTTTATTTGAATACTAAAAGTATGACTCAGTATCTGTAAGTTAACATGAAGTATGTTTTTAATAAGAAAAAGTGCAGAGAAATGACAAAACAAATACCAACCTCTGTAAAATGAAAAGGAACAAGACGTTCTGTATAGAATGCATTCAGGGCTTAGATTAAAAGTTCAAATTGAAAAATCAAAGTGTACTTCCTGAGATTTATATGTATGGTCACTGATGTAATGTCTAATTATGGGTGTACACTGGAAACTAATACAATATTGTATGTCAACTGTAACTGAAAAATTTAAAAATGATAACAAATACATGACATTTTAAAATACAAGTATAATGTAACCCTGGGAAATGGTCATAGGAAGAAAATACCCATGCCTACCTTGTTTCCCTTTCCTATCAGTCTCCAAGCACCCTGAAGTTGATTGCCTCTTCCCAGCCCATGGACATGCGCAGTAAAACACAGAGTAGGTCTTCACTGTACTATTCCGCAGTCTCAGAAGAACAAAATGTTGCTTAGCTACCCAATCCCGACCCTTCTATTTAACTACAGCTTATTTCTGGACCGTGAAACCGGTTCTATCCTAAAAGGGCCTGAACAGAAAAGGAGTCCGTTTCAAACGCCTTCGCAGAACTTGCACCCCCCCTAT